AGTACTCGCCTCCTACAGAAGCTGAACCACTGGCACCATTTTTATTAACACAATCCAACGGCTGGCCATTTACGTTTGTAACCATCAGGGATAGCAAGAGGACTGTAGATACTAAAAGTAAGCCAAAACGAGAAGACTTGCTGAACATGATGATATTTTAATTTTATGATATTTTAATCAAAAAAGAAAAAAAACTTCGTGCTTTCTTTTTGCATGCTCTTTTATACATCTTTTTTATTTTGGCAGGTATGCAATCACTAGACCGGATTTTCTTTTATTTATCTCAATATCGGCGTAGGCAAAAGTATTTAGCAATCGTATCTTTTTATGTATACACAAGGGGTTAGCGCGATAGCTATACGATTGAACCCCTTGTTACCTCTCACACACTTTTTTATAGCGAGGGTTTTAAACATAATAATATGACGATCATAACAAGCTAAAGGTGAGGGGTATGTTTTCCTTAATTATTTAGATAAGTTATTAGTTCCATATGCTTCATCGTCCTACCTACCAATTTTTGTTTGGAACTCGTTGCTCATGAGATAAGAGTACTTTGAGTCTATGAATATAGTCATGTCTGTAAAATCATTGCAGCATCGAATGACCTTTTTTTTTTTTTTTTTTTTTTTTTTTTTTTTTTTTTTTTTTTTTTGCAATGATATCGATGATATAAATGCAAAAACTGACAATGCAGCAAGACACTTCACATGAGTTCCGAAACTCTCCAGTCCTTATCCATATGGAAGGCAATATATGTATAAATATGTAGATACAGCAGGATCACTACGACTCCAATAAAGTTTGGCCAATGTTTGAACAAATTAGGACACCTGCGCTCTCCAAAGTAACGGAATTTTCGCAATTCATTCTGAGTTTCATCCACAACTTTTTAATTAAAAAGAAAATGCATCCATGAATTCGGTTTTTCTATTATGTGGTCCTACAATAGGTGTTTCATTTATAAAGGATCCTTTGGTAGATAAAAAGCTAGAGACCCTTATCGAATCAGAGTATTTGTTTTTCAACCCAGAAGTACCGTTTTAATCTATGGGTATGTATCACTGAGACCCACCAGGGATTACAAGACAATAGTGTGAGTAACGGAGGTAACACATATTATCGACATTACTGACCTTGATCGTTTCCATTTTGATATGCGCCAAAATGTAATTATCATCAAACAAATTAGTCTTTGTATAACTATTTTTATCAATGGACTGTAGCTTTTTGAGTGGTAAATAGTTTCGACATTAATACAACTTGAGCGAGTTATATCTATAAGATATTGATCCAATGTCTTTACAGGTTCTTGTTCCGTGTCAAAAAATAAATGATAGGAAGTTTCAAAAAAATTGGTACGGACGAATTTAATCTCATAGAAACCCTTGAATATGCTATTAATATAAGCCATAGCTCAACATAGATATCGATCTAATAACCAATGAGATTTAATGATAGACGAATCTCATCTCATCCCAATGACAACTAATGTGCCTATCAAAGAAGTTGAATGTGGCGTAAAAAAAAAAAAAAGAGGCGTTCAAGTCACTCCGACACCTTGTATAGTGTAATTATATATCTTTATGGAATTTGCCATTTATGTTTTTTTATGATGGCATGAGATTTGATTCAGCAAAAGAAGATGAGTATGTACATCTATTAATGACTTTTATTATTAATACCCAAGATCTACAAGCATTCAATATGTATTATAGTAAGAATAAGTCTTGATTAATTTCTTTTAAAAGATCCACTTGACTTGTTTGATAAGACAGTGGTACGGGGCACTCTGTCACCACAGGCTTGGGTCGTTTCTGAAGACTCTTCTCCAAGGCATCACAATAATTTTGGTATTTTATGATATCGTGTAGTAAATATTTCGACCTTGCTTCCCAATTATGCATCACTTTACCGTAATTTGCGCACCTTGTCGGAAACTATGCATTTTTTTTTAAAAATTAGTTTAAACCGCCTCACTTCATTATGCAAAATATATATATACCTTCAGCATAATCTTTGTCTTGATATCGCGGTGTTGATTAATCTCATGATTTAATTCAACAAGATGCTTTTGTAGCATCTCATACTGCTCCTTTTCATCCATGGCACTAGACACCATGGTCGCTGTCGGCGGTAACCAATCGCCAATAAGGATCGTGTCTGGATCCACTTGCGACACATGTTGTTTTTGTTCCTGACCTCTTCGCATAGCATCCAGATCCAGAATAACATCACTCAGGCATTCACCCCAGCCGTACTCCATATTACCCACACCGCCCGGTAAAGGTTCTTTACTTTCACGTGCCGCCCAATAATTACAGGTAGAGACCCATTCCTGGGTTTGCTCTGAGGAGGCCACTTGAAATAGATAGACACCACCGTCGGATTGCTGGATAGCAAAGACATGAGGGCGCTGTCTGTTGTAACCCGGTGGGGGCAAAGGGTTTGCCAGCGTATGATTTAATTCGATTTCTCCAATGAGTTGAGAAGATGCTGTCCATTTATGTGGGGTAGATGATTTTTCAAATAAGCTACTATGGCGGAATAAGCTTTTGTCGCCGATGGGGCCAGTATTTTGTAATAAGGCAAACATGCGTAATCCATCGGGACCGACTTCTAAAAAGCATTCACGCCATTCACGATGACGTGCTTTGTGTGTTGCGTTTTCCAAGAGGTGTTTTCGCATGACGACGCCTTCTTTAAAGTAGGGAGGACGACTGGAGAATAAATGGGTATTGTTCATGTATCCCATCATGGATTGTCCTGTTGTGGGTGGTGGTGGGGATAGAGAGTTGGTAGGTGATGTGCAGCGAGAACTGAGTGAAGTGGCGCTGGAACTTGTAGCTGAAGAAAAGGAATCACGTCGAGGGGATCGTATAAAAGGTCGATTGTATCCTGAACTCATACTAGATCGAATGGTAGAAGGCGGTGGTGGCGATGCGGTGCTAGGTGGTGGTACGAGTAAATCATCCAACATGACACTTTCTCGTCCTGATTTTCGAATAATGGAATTCACACTACGTTTAATTCCTATCACACGTTTTCCCATCATACTAGATCGTTTTGTCAAACTGGATTTTCGACCCAAAGGCTGCAGGATTTGGTATTGTTTGACAGAGACGTACATTTCCTTGATAGTGGCTTCTACTTCTGCTTCCCATGCTATGGAAGATTTTGTGGGGGTAGGATGGTGTGGAGGGTGAGAATTGCCCATGAGGGCTTCGTGATCGCGTTGATCACGAATGGTGGACATGGTATTACGGATAAATTCGGATCGTGTCATTCTGGCATGATTTCCTTGGGCTACATGAAGATCTGTATTTAAGAGCAAAAGCGAATAGACGACTGCATAGACGATATCTGCACTACCAAATAAACAACCCGGATTACAATCCCAATAACGGTGTGCAAAGGATTCTAAAATACGGTCAATTTGTTGTGCTTCTGCTTTAAAGTAGAGTTTACTGCATAGTTTTCGAAAAGCGCTGTCTAATCGCATATCGGTGAAATAGAAATAGTCCATGTATTGGTATAATACCGCTGAATGAAAAGGTTTTCTATAAATAGGGTAAGTTCTCTCTATCATAATGTGTGTTGTATGAAGCATTTTTTTTTTTACCCTTGACCGAGCCATTCGGCCATTCTTTCTTTGGTGACGGTAGTTTCATCCTCTTTCCATAACTGTAATGCGGTTTCCTTTACTTTATCCGAAATATCAGGTTCTTTTGGCAATGGTGTGTCTTGATGAAATAATTCCAGCTTGTTTTCATCCATGGTTTTCCAAACATCATCCAAAGTTTTGCTGAATAATTCGGTAGTACTTTCTGTCCTTGTATCATTACCATCTAAAGCCTCCTGGGCCTTTTGACGTAAAGCCAATTTATCCGGTACGGATAATTCCTCTTCTTCATCTTCTTCTGGTACGTCTATTTGAGGTATACTTAGATCGGATCTCAAATCAATGACGGTGATGGTACTAGCATGTTTTTGTTCTTCCTCAGTGGTGGCACGTAAACTCCAACGTTTGCCAGAATCCGAATGTCGTTTCCAGTTTAACATGCTTTTCGAAAGTTCGTCGTCTTGGTTTAGGGATCTTCGTTGAGGTACGGGAGGTGGTTCGTTAATGCTGAGGAGTAAGCCTCCTGCGCTTCCAAAATGACCTCCGCTTAGACGCTTAGAGAGATTGCTTTGTATTTCTAGTCTTTTTTCTCGTTCAATGTCTTCTTGTGAAGATCCTGTGGCATCGACGAATTCGTCGTCTGAGTCCTCGTTTGTGGTCGTTGTGTCTTCATCATCGTCTTCGTTGGTGTCTTCATTTGTGTCTTCTTCGTTGGTCTCTTCCTCATTGCTGTTGTCTTCTGAATGAATGGGTTGGTCTGGTAACGTGGTAACAACTGTCATGAAGGAGTCGACACTTTTATCTTTTTTGGCTACTTCGACAGAGTACAATGAACCGTTTCCATTTCCTCCAAAAGTGGAATAGATGGAATAGGATCCTGATGATTTACGAAGAGAGGCATTATCGCTGTTATTAAGGTGAAGGGAAGGGCGTTTTGTGATGTATTGGTCTGGCAAATCGGTTAAGAGACTGTCAGGTTGTTGCGTATTTCGTTTGAGAACAACGGGAGGTGGAGCCAATGGAATTTTGGTGTGTTTTCTACGGATACTGCTGTTATGGATGGGTCTTACTTTTGGTAGATCGTCATCCAGATTCTCAAAATTATCTAAATCATCCAATGTCTAAAAGATAAAAAGCACGTGGAGAAAGAGGAGATTAAAAAAACGTGGTTTTTTTTTGGAAGAGAAGGGAATAGCACGGACTTTTTATTGTTACCTTTCCTCTTTTTTTGAAGAGCTTACCAAATCCAGTAGCACTTCCAGTGGAAGAAGAGCTTTTCAATGAGGTCTGCTATTGATAAATGGTCAGTAGTTGATTTGTCAAATAAAAAGGAAGGTGTACCTTTTCTGAAGGTTTCCCCCAGGCAGCGGTGGTGTCATGTTGAATGCCTAATACGGATTCATATTTTGGTCTGGATGGGTAGTAAGGATGATCTCGTGAATTATTACTTGGATTTGCCAACAGTCGAGAGATAAATCCTTTCTTTTGCTGTCCATTACTACTCTCAAAGGCAGCTGATGTCGAATTCGATCTTGTACGTAAGTTTTTATTATTATTTGAAGAAGGTATGATTCTAGAATTGGGTAACATCTTTAGTTAAAAAGAGTTTGAACAAAGAAAAAGAGAGGGAAAAAAAAAAAAAAAAAGGGATGGATGGGAAATCAATAATAATAAAAAACAGGAGGGGTTAAATATGAATTATAATTTAGATTGTGTGTAACAATGTTGAAAAGTGTTATTTTAAGGCTTTTCAACACATGCCCTCACTTTTAATCTGTTTGGTTGTATCGTTTTCGCAATGTACGATATTTTCTCAAGTAGTACATCATTTCAATTTCTATTTCTTATTTAGCATCTCTCTCTCTCTCTCTCTCTCTTATTTTCTTCTTTATTTCGGCCTTACCTTTAATGATGTAGTCACCAAATTGGATGGCTTTTAAAATCTCTTTTTCGTCTGTCAAATCCTTCTTTTTGAAAAAAGCTGCTTTTAATTTGGGTCGAAAGAAATCATGATATCCTGCAGGATAATCTCTGCCTAAATACACCAACTTTTTTTTTTTCATGTTACAATCACAACGTGTCTCGCACTGCTAAAATAAAAAAAAGGAACTTGCCTGCTTGTAAAGCGCAATGACTTTGGGTCGAAGATGGCTCATGCGTTTGTGCGATTTCTTGTGAAAAAAGAAAACAAAGAGGGGTGGGGAAAACTATTTTTTTTTCGGGACACTCGTCACTTGTTACGCAAGACAAGACCATTGTCTGCGATTTAAAAAAAAAAAAAAGTAAAAAAAAAAGACGGGTAAAGAACAAAGGTAGATCTTTTTTTTTGTATGTGTCAAGAAACAATATGACTATACACCTATCATTTGTGTACATACAAAAATGACAAGGCCTTTCCTTTCTATTTTTAAAAAGTGATTTATAAATAAGTCTTGCACAACACTGTAGTTTATTAATGTTTGTTTTTCATTTAATCACAAACGTTTACCCAGATTTTTCCTTTTGCTCTAACTGAAATTACACCTTACAGAGAGAGATTGCAAAGAGCATCATATGATGTGCTTGACAATGAGAGTTTCACCCCTAGCCTGTCACCTTGGAAACCAAAAAAAGAAAAAAAATAAAGCATGACATTTTGTTTTTTTTTATATGCAGATGCGGTTAATTTAGGGTGGTACAGAACGAAATCAGAGGCAATGAATAAAAATGTCAAGAAAAAAGAGATAAGGGATGACATATGAAGAGGGGAGCAGGCAGATCCACCATGGCAGGGTGGCTTACCTCGGCTAATTTTAAACCTTAAAAAAAGGAGGTACAAAGTGATTACTACTTTTTTTACCCGTCTTC